GTGTGTGTGTGTGTGTGTGTGTGTGTGTGTGTGTGTGTGTGTGTTTAGGATTACGGTTAGGGTTAGTTAGAATCGCAGGCCAAGTCAAAGGCCAGTTGAGCTCTGGTGTGACGGGAGGTGGCCTTGTTTACAGTCAGTGTCATCCTGACAGTTTCTGGAAGGAGATCAGAAATGAGTTGACGGTTTGGGAAGATGGAGTCTGTCCTTTGATGGTCAGGGAGGTGCATGTTTATATAATCGTTTATTGTTCACCTTCTGTAGGTTGTCACTGGACTTCTCCGAAGAGTGGATGAGGTGAGTGTATAACGAAGGGCGCCTGTGTTTCCGCCGAGCTTTTGTGTTCTCTGTAACCCTCTGCTTCTCTGCCTCGTCCGTGCTCCTGTTTCACGTTTGGAGGTGGGCACACGCTAGTCCTCTTGGGCTTCTGCCAGGGGCCGAGAGGTGTGTGAGCACATGGGGCGCTGGTCCAGTGGGCCTGAGCCTCCAGAACCCTGACTGCTGCCTGGGGCCAAGTGCCCCCTGAGCACAGAGGGTGCCGGTCCATTGGGCCCAAGCTTCCAGGGCCTTGACCGCTGCCTGATGGCTGCAGCCCCTCTTCCTAGAGAATGCTCTCGTCAGTGAGCTCCTCCTGGGGAACGTGTGCCGAGTTTATTGACCCCCGGGGGCCGCAGTCAGGCGAGTACGCCCGCTGGAATAGCTTCCTGACTAAACTGCAGCAATGCTGAGTACAGCTTTACCCCCAGAGGCGGCTAAATTCAACGTGTCATTAGTCCACGCCCCTCAGGAGCCCTGCGGTGTGGTTGGGTCCACGCCCTGAGGTTCACCCTGAGGTTGGGGTCTCAGCCACCAGCCTTTCTTTGGGAGAAGGTTGTACAATCTGCTCCTGTGTGGATTCCCTGTGGGGCGCGTCTGCTCAGTCCTGCAGGGCTGCTGTGAGCCAGGGTCGTATCAGGGGCAGCAGGTTCTAAAATATGTCCTGTGGGCGTGGTAGCGTGGATGGGACTGGAGCACTGGGAGCTCAGGGTGGTAGCCACCTGGGCGGGGACCGAGGGGCAAGACGGGAGGGCCTCCCTCTGTCAGGACAACTGTGTCTCTTTTTATCTTATATTGATTTGTTTACAAAGTTTGAATACACTCTTTTTCACAAAAGATCCATTTCCTTCACCCCATCCACCCATCGAATTGTGCAACCCTTTGATTAACAACGTACTCCCCCACCCATCCTCACCCCTCTATTTCTCCCCTCCTCCCGCCACACCCCCACCCATCCTCACCCCTCTACTTCTCCCCTCCTCCCACCACACCCCCACCCATCCTCACCCCTCTATTTCTCCCCTCCTCCCGCCACACCCCCACCCATCCTCACCCCTCTACTTCTCCCCTCCTCCCCCTTGGATCCTCATACTTACGCTACAGTAATGGTCCTTGAAGCAATGTGACACATGTTAACATTAGTTACATTGTTTTATGTCTTTTCTGTGGTCCTTTGAGATCATTCATAATGAACAGTGAGATGCAGAATACCTTCTTAGTCCTTTGGTTACAGGGCCTTTATCCCTCGTGCCCAGTGCCCTTTGCTGAGTGCCCTGAGGTGGGCTGACCCAGCACACAGGCCCCCAAGGTGGCTTGGCCTGCCAGGAAAGCCCTGAGTCCTCACTCCCGCCCTCGCCCCCAGGCACTTGGCTGAGCCTCAGTTAACTTGGCTGCTGGAAGCCTGTTCCCTCCTTGCACTGAAGTCTTGTTCATCTGTGACATCAGAGATGCCACGCTCATACAGTATCTAGTATGTTCCTCACCCCTTTCTCTCAACAAGTCACCACTAATGGGTCCTCGGACATTCTCCTAAGTTCTAGATGATTCTGTTTTCCTAGAGGGGCCCTCTTGGTGTCCTCCTCCTCCAGGGTTCTGGGAGAGGAGTGGGCAGGCCTGGCCTCACTGTCCTGCCGGTGGTCTTCCCACATGGTGACTGACACTTGCTCTTCCCTTCCAGGCCACCTTCAGCAAGACCCCCATCGGCTTCATCCCGCTGGGCCGGACCAGCACCTTGGGTCGCACCCTCTTCACTGAGAGTGGAAACCAAGTCCAGTAGGTGTCGTGTGGGATGTTGGGGACAGCTGGGAGGGAGGTATCCTCAAGCGTGTCGAGTGTGTGTGTGTCCGTGCGCGCGCGCATGAGAGAGTGTGTGAGTGCTCCTGAGAAGTGTGTGTGAGAGTGTGTGTTTGTGTAAGGGTGTGTGAGTGTGTGTGTAAAAGACAGTGCATGTGAGTGCTCCTGGGAAGTGGAGGGGTGTGTGTGTGATGTATTGGTAGCACTTGGTCTTGTGTTCTGATCACGTGAATTGAGGTATAATTAGCAGAGGGCCTCGGTCACTATCCCCTTTCTGTCCACTGGGAAGTTGCCCCTTGGGCTGTGGGGCTGGTAACCTAATCATGGTCCCTAGTCAGGGATAGTGACAGATACTAGCTGTCCTCTGTCCACTGTGGAAGCTGCTCCCCTCATCCAAACCATGTCCAGCTCTCACGCGTCCAGTCCTCTGGGAGATGGGCTTGTCTTGGTCACTCGTCTGCTCTCAGTGTCCCTGGAGACCCATAGCATGTCCCTGGAGAGGCCAGCCCTGCAGCCCTGGCGTCCTTATCTCGATGATTTTCAGAGTCACGACATCTGCTTACAGCTGCCTTATCCTAGAACTGGTGAAGGGGGTGGGTGGGGGGAACAGGAGTCAGGACGTGGCCACCCCAGCGCTGTGAGGCACCCGTGTCTTCCGGAGCATGACAGACTTGCTGATAGTGTCCTGCTTCTCCTAAAAGCACCGTGTGCACACAGCTCTTTTCTTTCAACAAGTTGAGATCTTGAATTTGAGTCGTGGCTTTGAAAAGAACTAATAATATAATCCTGAGCAAATACTTCTCAGCTCAGTGCCAACTGCTGATGTAAGCTTTGCAGCCCATTGGGACAAGTCCGTAAATAAATATTTGTTGACTGAACTAAATTTTTTCTGGACTGTTCTGGCACTGACATTCAAGAATTAATAACAACATAGCGTTCAGGTGATTTTTGTTATTATGTTAAGAGCTTTTTAAAATTCCAATTAGAAACTCTTTGATTTGGCTGGTTTTTTTTTAGTTGATTTTGCTATCTTTTTTAGGAGTCAGCTGGTATACGCTGTCACCGTCTGTACTCCTGCCTTTGTGAAAGCCCAGGTCTGTTTATCAAGCATTAGGCATGTGCGTGGAAGGCAGTGGCCTATGGGAGAGTCCTCACCTTCCATGTGTGAAGCCTGTGTTTGATGTCCGGCCGGTGGACCTCATGCTTGGCCACCCGCCTGTCGGGAGGGTGACATGCTGCTTTGCTGTTGAAGGGGCTTCAGTGACGCTTCTAGACTGAGGAAGAGTAGGAAGAAAGGGCTGGTGATCAGCTTCTGAAAGTCAGCCCGTGCACACCCCAAGAACCACAGCAGCTGGGTGACAGGGACAGTATGGACAGGGCAGCATGTTCCCCACGCATCCAGAGCTCCTTCCACGGCAGCTCACAGGAGCAGATATGATTGTAGACACACAGTCATCCTTCACGGAAACTCCTCATGTGAGGTGTGTGCTCCAGTGTCACCCGACCCCTGAGACCTGCAGGAGGTGGCTGACCGTCACAAGAGTCCATGCCTCCCCATGTCTGAGGGGCAGCAGAGACGGCAGACAGGGAGGGGCCCAAACACTGATCTGAGGGACACCCTGTCCTTCAGAGAACTGACCTATCCCTCGTGTCCAGCTCTCCCCAGTAACAGCATCATGGCAGAGGTGGGCACGGTCCGCAGAGAAAGGTTCTTCAGCAGGATGCTCGCTGGTAAACCCTTGGACCCGGGCGTGGCAGGCGGCATGAGGCCGGCAGCATGCCGGGGCGGGCCCTCCTCTGCAGGTAACACTGCGGCTAACGTTGGCAGTGTCCACATCTACAGACCTTTGTTGAGGAGCATGCCCCCGGCCGGGTGGTCAGGTCAGTGGGTCCTCAGTGCCTCCCTCTGTTCCCCTGGGGCAGGACAGACACCCCCAGCATCTGAGGAGCCCATCTCCGTCCCCTGTCTGCACTGCTGTCCTTGGTGTGTCAGAACCACCTCCCAAGGCACTGGGTCCTTCCGGTGTGTGCTCAGCTGCAGCCTGGCCTTCCTCGAGATTCCCAGTCAGTGGAGAGTGGCCAGGCTAGGGCTGTGTTTAGCGGCTTGTATGTCACTGTCCTGAGATGGCTTTTTGCATTGTAGCCGAAGTTGGTTTCAAGCTGTTCTCCCCGGAACACGCAGCCCTTGCAAGCTGGACACTGCTCAGCACAAGCCCAGCGGTCGGGGCCTCCAGGGCCGAGTGCGCTGAGTGCCGGTGACACCACTGGCCTTCTCCTCAACCGTCTCCTTTGCAAAACTGCTGCCCACGTGCCAGGCCATGTCTGTGGTGGAGGGAAGGCGGTGGAGCAGAGCTGACGGAGGAAGATGAGGTGACATAAGCTGGATGTTTCAGAATCCCAATCACTCGAGAACCCGGACCCTCTGAAGAAGTGTGGCTTCAGGATGAGATGGGACAGTCTGCCTCCATAACATCGCAGCTTTAGAAACCCTGCTCTCCTCTCTCCTCCAGAGGCTGAGTCAGAGTAGACTCAGACACACACGGTCCTCTGAGTTGTGAGAACACTCGGATTTAAGTGGCTCCAGTTCCTAGACCTGTGCTTCTGCACCAGGTCTGGCCACCCGCTGGGAGACCTGTATGTGCCCAGTGCCGGGCGTGGGCTTCTCGAGCGTCCGTAGGTAAGCAGAGCTTTCAGCAGATGGCCTCACCGGGCGAAGAGACGCATGCCTCTGGAGTAGACGGACAAGAAGCTAGATTCTGCGCCAGCCGTCCTGGTGCTGCCCAATCCCGGAATCTCGACTTCCGCACCAAGTCTATTATATGTGCAGTGATAGCACTTCTTCAGAAGATTGTCGGAAAGCTGGACACGGCGTGAGGAACGCGCACCGGGAAGGACCATCAGCAGTAATTCCGCGGCTGCTCCTTAGGGCCAAGGCAGGTGAGGCTTCATGACACGTGCTTTGAACGTGATCAGGAGGGGTCGTCCCTGGAAGAGGACTTCATGCTTGGAAACGTGGACGGTCAGAGAAGGAATGAAAGACCCTCACCGAGATGGGTTGACGCAGTGATTGCAGCGGTGGGCTTGACCACAGCAAGGATTGTGAGAATGGTGGCAGGATCAGGCGGGGTCCTGAGGAGTTGGAGCTGACTGGAGGCCGCCCACCACCTTCAACAACGACCGTCCAACAACAAGCCCGAGGGGAATGCAAATTAGATCCGTGACAGGAGGCTGCTACACACCTGTTACAGTGGCTGAAACAGGTAGCAGGGACGAAAATGTGATGACACCCCAGCTGCTAACAAGAACGTACAACTCACAGCCCTCAAACATCAGTGGGAATGCTGACCACCGTGAGTTCCTGAGAAGTTACCCATCGGGCAGTCAGTATCCCTCACACATCAGTGGGGATGCGGGACCATGGTGAGTTCCTGGTAAGTAACCCACCAGTCAGCGTCCACCCTTCCAGGTGGGAAGGAAGGTCTGTGTCCATGAAAACTGCGTGAAGGTTCATAGTTACTTCATTCGTCGTCCCCATAGACGGGAAGAAGTCCATGTGATAGAATCCTTCTCAGCCACAGCAGGAAAACATCTCTCGATACAGCCAAGGCCATGAGTCAGTCATGGACTCATGCTGACTGAGAACGGCTGCCCGTTTTACAGGGAGGACAGTCTGGAAAACGCTAACCCCGGGGGCAGGAAATAGATGAGTAGATTGCAGGCCCTGCTTGTGCAGTTGGCACCTCACAGAGGATCCTGGGAACTTTCTGGGATGTTGGAAACGTCTGTCTTCCTCATGGTGGTCACATGACTGTGGATTCAGGGTTTACAGGACAGGATGTGCGAAAGTGTGGATTTCCTGTCTAAGGTGCAACTACAGATCTTGCCTTGTGAGAGCAAAGAAGAGTGAGGGACATCAGAGACATGTGAAGCCTGTGACCCCGTCCTCCAGGACTCTGCCCACACGATCATGCCTGCTCACCGCTGCCCTGAGACAGGTGGTGGCCAGAGGTGACAGAGCAGGAGCAGGGGGTGGGGCAGGACACACAGTCAGCAAATAGACCAGGTTCACTGGTCTGATAGAGACTGGTGACCTTGAAACTGTGGCCCTTTAAGTCCCCCCAGTGTGCCAACTTCCATCCAGACAATAGACAGGTCTATAAGATAAACAGTTGAGTAATGGTCTGAATAATAAGCTACACTGCCAAACCCAAAGGCACCTGGTTCAAATCCACCAGCAGCTCCGCAGGAGAAAGATGGGTGGTCTCCTCCTGTGCAGTTTACTGCCTCTGTGAACTCGCTGGAGACTCAGCTCGACAGCACTCAACAAAACACAACGCATGTGCAGACAGTACACGCATGTGCCCGGGAGGTGATGGAGAGATGAACGCAGTGATTCAGATGGTTTAGGTCCCATAGCAGTATTCTGTTTGCTTGTTTAAAGTAAGAGTCTTTGTGCTTTGAAGAATACAGAACTGTTGAGGGAGAAGGACTGAGGAGGAAGGGAGGGGAGGAAGGGACACGTGGTGGCCTGAGGCCGCGTGAGGAATGTGCTGATGTTAAGGAGCTCAGGCCTGCCTTTTTATATGCTTGAGATTTTATGTTGCTGAATCACTTATTCAGCAGATACTGTGCTGAATGTGTTCCCTCGTCAGCTCTGGGTGTCACTGGAGGTGGGCAGGCTGGACTGGCCATGTGCTGAGAGATGGGAGCTGGCCAGGTGCCCCTGGATGACTCTGGTGGCACGGGGGGTGGGCAGCTGGACTGGCAAGCACTGAGTGTGAGTCTGCATGTCTGCTGAGCTCCGTCCACGTCGCTGTGTTGAGCCGCCTGCTGACCGTTCTGCCGACTCCTTACTGGTTGCACTTCCCGTCCTCTTGGGACCTCAGCTCCTGCTCCACTGTAAACCCTGCAGTGTGCCGAGCCCGGTAGAGCACCCCTCACCCCGAGTGGGTGCCTGCCGCTGCCCCGTGATGACGGCTGCTTTAGGGGTCGGGTGCCTGGCAGCGTGTGTATCAGGACTGTCTTGGCTCCTGAAGGAAGCAGCGTGCAGTCACGGTGGCGCTCTCCCAGCAGTCCCGGAAGGAGGGGAGCAGGTCCAGGGTCTGGGCGATGCTTTGCAAGGTGACGCAGTCCTTCATTCTCCTTGTGCTGGGAGCCTCGATGATCTCCGGGTGCGCGAGAGCAGGCGTCGTGGTGGAGGTGAGCCCCCTGCTTTCCACGGGTGACCACACTGGGCGCGGACTCCCTGACCCAACAGTTCTGGTCTGGCATGAGCGTCCCCTTGCCAAGGCCATGTCTTAGCTCCTGTGTGTACTGCTGGTTCTTCTGTGCCCTGAGAGTCCACTTGGGAGTGTTTTGAGGGAAGCTGGTGTGTGATTGTGAGTGTTGAGGGGGACTGAGGGCCCACCTGAGTGTCTGTGAGCGGAGGTGGTTGTGTATGTCCATGAAGGCGGGGGTGTGGCTTTGTATGTGGTGGGGGACAGGAGCATGGTTGTGAGTGTGTGTGTGTGTGTGTGTGTGCACGTAGGGTTGTGATTGTGAATGTGTGTAGACAACGGCCTGTGTGTGCACACAGGTGTGGGTGTGAGTGTTCACAGTGTGCTTATCTGGGTGCATGTGGAGGTGTGGTCTGTGGTTGTGTGTGTACACATAGAGGGCATGCGTGTGTGTGCGTGCGCGTGCGCGCGCCTGTGTAGAGGAGAGGGACTTTGCTCTTTCACACTCACCTTCCTGTCGGCGTCCCCACAGACACATCACAGATGCCGCCCTCGCCATTGTGAAGGGAGAAACGGTCCCGCTTGACGTCTTGCAGATTAAGGTACAGTCCTATTGTGGGTTATTTTAATAACCAAAGTAATGCACACGTTATAGAAAAGAAAATGCCACAGCCCAGATTGTGTTGGAAACTGCAGCCCCTCCTGGTACCCAGTCTTGTCTCTGGGAAGAGCTCGCTCATGAACTGTTCTCTCTGGTGGCCCCACGGACGGACAGGCTTGCTGGGCTGGCTTGCTGACCTTTCCTGACCACTCTGGGGCGTGGCTCCTCTGTCCCCTCCTGACGTCTGCAGCTCCTTGACCTCGGGCACGAGCAGTCCATCTGTGCATGTGGCTATGCGAGTATGCAAGACAGCCGGCAGCAGGCTCCGAGGACTAAGGGGCCTCCCGGGCTTGGCGGGTGCTGTGTGCAGAAGTCCTGGGGTCCAGGTTCCGTAGGGCTGCCTTCTTGGAGCTGAGGTCGCATTGCTGCCTCTCTTTCTCCGCACTCCTGCGGGCTTTTCTTCCTGGTATGTGGCACACGTGTGCTTCCCACATTCCAGTGGGCACTGACCCCTCCATTTCTCTGTTGGGTTGTTTGATGTTTTTGTACTGATTGGAGGAGAGCTCCTGTTCACAAACTCTCCAGCCTACCCACTGGCAGGGCTTGGGATTAGTGGCCAGAGCAGCAGTGGGCAGCCAGCATCCAGGTCTCGGTGCCTAAATACCACTCCCCAGTAGAGTGACCAGGACTCGTGGGGTGGGTGTCACAGGCATGCAAAGACAAGCTCAGAAATGGATGTGTCTTCATGGAGAATCAAGGGCCAGTCTCAGGACAGCATGAACGTCAGTAAGAAATGATGCCAGTGGATGTGAGCGCAGAGCGTGCGGTGACGAGGACTGGCTGGGGGTTTGGTATTGCCACGTGATTGTCACTGTGGTGCGTGATTCTGAGAGGACCGGAAGTGGATGCTGTCACCGTCAGGTGCTGGGCTCCGACCCTCGTGCCAGGAGATGCTGTCACCGTCAGGTGCTGGGCTCCGACCCTCGTGCCAGGAGATGCTATCGCCGTCAGGTGCTGGGCTCCGACCCTCGTGCCAGGAGATGCTGTCGCCGTCAGGTGCTGGGCTCCGACCCTCGTGCCAGGAGATGCTGTCGCC